CCTAATTCAGTAAGACTGGAGACTGCACTGCGCCTGCCCCGTGGAATACTGTGCACCATCAGGAAGGATGAGGGACCCGTGAAAGCAGCTCAGCAGAGAACAGTGTTTAGCCTTATGCCAGCAATGTTAATGAAAAGCCAGTACACTGTGCTTGGATTATACTCAGCTGCTCAGGGTGAGGACACATGGGAGATCAGGAGCCCTTTCTGGCTTGAGACTCCATCTGAGTGGCTGCTCCAGCGAGTGAGATGAGAAATGCAGGAGCAGGTCTTTGGGAGGAAATGTGCATCTGTGCTTTGCCTTCTGAGTTTAGGGTTCATCTGAGTGGGTGGAGTTCAGTGTAGAAGGGAAGGGTTGGTGTGTTTTATATTCTCGGGTGCTGCTTGACCTTTTTGTCATGAACATGTGTTACTTTTTACAGGAATTTTTGAGTAGAACTTTGTATTAAGACAGGGGTTAAACTGGTGGTCCACAAATGAGAAGCATCAGTGAATCACTGGCCTAGTAAAGGCCAGGACAGAGCTCTGTCTCACTACCCTCGCCCGACTCACCACACTGCTTCTGTGTTTTATGAGGTCCTTTTATCACTGTATCTCAGTCGCAGAGGTGCTTACGAGGATAAGCTACAAGGTGACTGAGTGGTTGATTCCCTGACCACCACTGGCCTTGCCGCTGTGTCTAAAGATATAGCATGGCAGGAATTTGTTCTGCATGATTTCTGTGATTTAAATACACCAAGGGATTGTGTGGTTCTAAGACAGGTCAAGCTGCCAGTGTAGACAACTGGGTATGTGTGGGTATGTGAGAGAGGAGCACATGCAATAGGTGGAAGGAACCCTGAACTGGGGCCAGGAGACGCAAGTTCCAGTCCAGTTCAGTCAACCTGCTGTGTCCTGAGCAATCCCATAGCTACCTGGACCGCCATCCTCTTTATAGTGAGGGAGTCTGACTCATGTCATGACTTTTAATACCCACCCCAGGCCAGACATTCTTGTTTTTTCCACATTTTCTGGAGACCACAACCCAACCCCTCCTTGGCTATATATTCTTTCATTTCTCTCTATCCATGGTGTCTTTGCATGGCTGAAGCTGTCCAAGGCTGCAACACATGGCTTTACAGGTTGGAGAGTTTGGGAGTCAGAGATCTCTGGGCTTGAGCCCCACGTCCGCTCCTCAACAGTTGAGGATTCTCCTGAGTCTTGGTTTCTCCCTTCTTTATAAGTGTCTTCCAAGTAGTAATACAACTTAGAGAAGTTTCACCTCTGGGACCCGACACATAGAAGGTACTCAATAAAAAGGGGAATTCTTATGCTTGCACCAGAGAGTAAGACAGAAGAGTACAGCATAGCTGGTTCTCCTTAAGTCTTCTCAAAAGCTGGCCTCCGGGGACTTAGTCACCGCCATTTGACTATTTGTGTCAGGCCCACTGAAATTGTCTGTGGATGTCTCTAACCTCCCCATTGGACTGAGAACTTGTGGGGCCCTGTGTCCTGCCTCTTTAACTACATCTTCAGTACCTGGCAGTGCCTGGCACAGAGAAGCTGGTGGCTGCTCCCACACGGTCCCTGCCTCAGTGACCCACTGGTGGCGGGCTTTGGAGTGCTAAGCCTGCCTGAGGGTCTGGGTGACAGTGGGAAAGGCTGTTTGAGCAAACTGATAGAAGCAGTGACTCCTCGGTCCCTTGTCCAGTAGGCACGTGGCCAGAGGCTGCCTGGTGATCTGCCATGAGACCTTGAGAAGCACATCCATCCAGCAGGAGATAAGAGCCACCAGAGGTCAAGCTGGGTGCGCACCAGGGCAGGAGGCTCATTTGCAGTTAATTGCTGCCTCTTATCAATGACACGGGGCGGGGGGTGTGCAGTAGGAGTCAAGGGATGGCTTTAACTGCCTCTGAAAACTCCCTGTCCACACTGCGGGTGCCTTGGCGCCTCCTCCACAGGTCAAACTCATCAGCCTATACCCTGTACTATCCTCCCTCCGCCCCGCCCCCCCAGTCCCTGTGCACGAGGGCCCTCTCACCACATGGCCCTGGCCCTGGCCCAGTCCCCCCACCCCGCTCAGTTCACAGCTGGTGCTTAATAAATGGGAGTCTCCCTCCACCCTAAGGACGCAGGTCAAGCAGTACATCGACTACTACAGGGAACAGGATGAAGAGGTCAAAGAGGGAGTTTGGAGGACTAGTCTGGGCGCAGATGAAGGGGGTACATTCCTTACTCTAGGGAGGGCTGAGGCGTCCAGTACCCTCCCCCCCGCCTTCCCCGCGAGATCCCTGGATCAATTGCAATTCCCACCCAGGCCCTCAGAGCTTCTCCTAGTCCAGACTCTGCCTGCAAATCTCCAAGGAGCCCGAGGTCCGCGCCTGGAGAGCTGAGCTTGGCCTGCAGCGCCCCCGCGTGCTCGGAGAGAGAAGCGACGTCGCGCAGGGGCCGCTGCCTTGAACCGAAGGCAGGGAGGGGTCTGGCACTCAGGCAGCCCGGGTTACGTTTGTGGGCGCGGGAGGCTGAAGCCACGCTCCCTAGGGTTGTTTCTCAGTCGCCATCCCTGCCACTGCCTGCCACGGTCGGGCACTGTCCAGGGCTTACCAGGTTCTCATGCAGGCCATCAGCTGCGGGTATCAAGCGCGTACAGTATGCCAAAGCGGCGGTACCCCTCCTGGCCTGGCCCAGCCCGGCCTTGTCCCAGAGCTGAGTCACAGGGTGAGAGCAGTTCCTTGCAGCTTGTCCGAAGATGGCAGAGAGAAAACCCAAAAAAGCGCTGTTTCACGTGCATTTTAATAAACATGCAAATCCCTGTTCTTTCCTTGGTACTTATAGAGACAACACCATCAAGGAGTTTCGTGAGTTGCTTATGAAGGTTTTAAAATAGGGAGCTGGGTAGGGCGGGCAAGGGAAAGCACTCCCATGCCGCCAGGCTAGGCGTGGTCACAGACCGGCCTTGTGTGGGGCTGGCCCAGCGTGTCACTCTCTGGTTTCCTAGGGACCCCGACCCAGGGGAGATAGGGGTCCAGGCTTCTGCAGTGTTCAGAAAGGTGCCGCACAGGTAGTGGGAGTGCAGCTCCGGCGGAAAGTGCCACTGTGAGGGGGAGAGGTCGGGAACAGGACTTGACCGGTAGGAAGGAAAACGGAACGTGGCCTGGAATAAGCACAGTGAGCAGCCCTTCGCGAGGACCTTCAGGACCTTCGGGGATTACTGGGGACCTCAGAGTTGCCATCCTTGGACAATGGGAGGGTCAGGAAGTTAGAGGTGGAGAGAAACTATCTGGGCTGGGCAGGAAGTGGAGGAACAGATGAGGCAGTCAAAGGCTCCTCTTCCGGAGGGCTGTGGACCTCCCTCTCTCTCTGTCTCTCTCTCTCTCTCTCTCTCTCTCCCTCATCTCACATCTTTGCTACTGTGAACACCTGGTTTGAACCCCGCCTCTGCCTCTTCCTGTGTGACCAGGAACACAGGACTCCTCTTCTTACTCTGGACCCCCTAGAACCTGCCTTGCAGACTGTTCTGCGGATTAAGCGGATTAAGCGAGGCAAGGTGAGCCTGGCCTCAAGGGTGGCCACCTGCCAATTCCTGACGTTTCCAATAAAAGCTCCAGGTCTGTAATCACAGCGCTCTAAGAATCTAAGGCAGAAGGACAGCAAGTTTGCACCCAGTCTGGGCAACTTAATGACTTAGCAAGACCTTGTCTCAAAATAAAAAAATAAAAAAGGGCTGGGGACATAGTTGTAGTCTATAGCTCAGTGCAAAGGCCCTGCATTCAATTCTCAGTACTACAGGAAAAGAGAGAGAGAGAGAGAGAGAGAGAGAGAGAGAGAGAGAGAGAGAGAGAGAGAGAGAAGTTAAAAGACACCTGAGTCACTGATAAGTTGTCTTGGTCCATGGCGCAGGTGGAGGTAGGCAGGGAATGGGGAGTGAGTAGGGCTGGGAATAAGCGGATGACAGACCCAAGAAGCATCTGGGACACCCATGGGTCTCTGGTGCTTCACTGAATCTGGAGTGGGGATACTGACAGAGAAGGAAGAAACTATTTTTACTGCATTGTAATCTTTCTGTTCTATAACTTTGTCCCTTTAGCACAGCACGGATACTCCTCTGTAGCCTTAGGATGGCTTATGATGGTTGATGAAACTGTAATTGCATTGTAAGTGCTATCATGTAGTTAGTCAACCTCCACTGTGTGTCGTTCCAACTGCCTTCTATAATAAAGCAAATCTCAGCTCAGAAGGTAGAAATCACTTACAGTGCAAATACCTCTGTAAACCTGAGTCACCCGTGAAGTAAAGAATTCGTTGGGTTTTTTTTACACACCATGTAGACTAGTGTGTATGGTAAATGTATCAGATATAACATATAATAAAGAAGATACAGGCAAAATATAACTTAGGCCTCTATTTAAATTGCCTTTTCCTTTTTGCTTTCAAAGATGTAGGGAGCTCAATTTACAGAAGTGAAAGGAACATTTGTGTGGCTCTGCAAGCCCCTCACAGTGCTCCAGACACCTTAGATGTGGCACTAGGTGTGTAGGGGCCGACTGTCCCCCTGACCCCATTCTGCACCCTTTCCTGCATGCCCTGCACCTGGGCCTTTGCTGCCTTCTCAGAGTGAACTCTCCTGCCCCATGACTGTGGGACTCGCTTTGGCCAGCGGAAGGGGAAGACGTGACAGTGCCTCACTCTGAGCCCAGACTGGAGGGGACTCCATGAGCCCTGCCCTGCTTGGCCCCCATCTGTTCATCACCAGCAAATGAGCTACAGAAGGAGGACAGCTCCAAGTGAGGCTGCTACGTCCGCCCACCCCCAGTAGACCTGCAGATAAATAAGGGGACATACGTACTTGTCACCTGCCAAGTCCTGGTGTGATCCTGGTTTCGTGTCTTTTGTGCTCGAGGTTTCGTGTCTTGCTGATCTGTAGGCACTGTGCTGCATCAGGGAGAAGTTGCTGTGGGATTCGGTCTGGTGCATGCAGCAGGGAAAGGGTCTGAGGCTTGCAGTCATATCAACAGCTGAGCTGTCCACAGGCCTGACTTTCCGAGATAATTACCCTTTATGACTACCAAGCCATGTGCAGAGCCAACAAGGAGAGCAGCGACAGCGCCCACAGACTCCTGGATCCTTACAATGCCTTCCTCTCTGCTGTGAAATGGATAATGACAGAACTTGTCTTGTTCCTGGTGGAATTTAACCTCTGCAGTTGGTGGCACTCTGACATGACAGCTAAAGCCCAGAAACTGAAACAGACCCTGGAGCCCTGTGATACTGAATATCCAGCTTTTGTGTCTGAGCGCACCATCAAGGAGACCACAGGGAACATTGTTTGTGAAGACTGCTCCAAGTCCTTTGTCATCCAGCAAATCCCAAGCAGCAATCTGTTCATGGTGGTGGTGGACAGCAGCTGCCTGTGTGAGTCCGTGGCCCCCATCACCATGGCCCCCATTGAAATCAGGTATAATGAATCCCTTAAGTGTGAGCGTTTAAAGGCTCAGAAGATCAGAAGGCGTCCAGAATCTTGTCATGGCTTCCATCCTGAGGAGAATGCAAGGGAGTGTGGGGGTGCGCCGCGTCTCCAGGCCAAGGTGGCCCTTCTGCCCTCTCTGCTTTTGATACTCTTCTCCAGGTGACACCGACCGAGTACTCCCTTGGCATGCTAAATCATGGATAAACTGTGAACCAAAACATGGTGCGGCGTAGGAGACCTAAAATGTAATCCAACCATCAGCATCTCATGATTTTAAACTGTGCGTGATATAAACTCAAACAGATGTTGACAGAAAAGTTAGTTTGTTCCTTTGCCAGTCATGCAAATGTGTTTGTCACGTGATAATCCTCACCCTTCATCAGAAATGGGGCTGCTCGTGGTCGGCAGCGTCCCTTCTGCTTGAAATCCATTGAAACCACTTGAAAACTGTATACTTTTTAAATAAAGTATATTAAAATCATAAAAAAAAACACAGAAATGGCTGGCCACTACAGTGGGCATTTTTGCAGAGCCTCTTTTTGTGTTTCAGGCTACATTTTTCCCACCTCTACCAAAAATCCATGGAGCCTTCTATTCACAGTGGATACTGGCGTTTGTTATCTAGAACCAGCATCTAGAAGTTTTTTAAACTTCCGTTGTAATGTGCAAATAAGTATTCTTTCTTTTTAATATAAATAAGGATAAACATTTATACACATGTATTGTATGTGTTATTTACTAGCCTACCTTCTCTTTGTTTGTGAGCTGATGTTTTATATTCTAGGGACTTAACCTCTTTCCCCTCTTGTTACCCTTGCCCCCTTGTCACAAAAGGGAACCCATGAATATCTGAACAGATTCCTGGATTCCTAACCATCTGCTAACCTCACGGACTTAGAGCATCCTCATCAGGTGAGTGTTATTTGTGTACAATTTTAATAATAAAGGTTCCTATGCATTCTTTGATTTGTTTGCAATAACGCACATCTTCTTAATGCTTCGAGTCCAGGATGGTGCAAGTGGAAAAGTACTTAGAACTAAAATACCCAGGGGTGAGTTCAAGAGACCAGAGCAAAGGCAGCCTTCGTTTTCCCATCGGGTGAAATGGAGATAATAACAGAACCATCTATGCAGTGTTGTTGTGAAGAAAGAATGAGAATTGTGAGTTTTCAACATATGCAGCTAACATGGAACAAACCGCATAATAAGCTAAATCTTAGACACTGCACTGGTCTTTTCTTCCTGACAAGGATGGGCTGTGGGTATTTATGGAATAGAAGCACTCCTCTGGAATTTCTCAAAAGAGGCACAATTCAAAGTGGGCCTTAAACAGTGGGAAAAATCCTAGCATGGTGGGTGGAAGGAGGGAAGATACTCTGAGAGGGGACATGGTGAGAAGCTATTCTAATCAGTGCCTGTGTCCCTCTGCGTCCAGAATGTACCAAGAGCACTGTGGTAGCTTTTATCTTCTCCATCATCATCATCATCATCATCATCATCCCCACATTACAGATGAGGAAGCAAAGACTTAGAGGGATGTCCAGAATGTGCCAAGAGCACTGTGGTAGCTTTTATCTTCTCCATCATCATCATCATCATCATCATCATCATCATCATCATCATCCCCACATTACAGATGAGGAAGCAAAGACTTAGAGGGGCTTGGTGACACCCTGAAAGCTGGGATTTGCATTGAGTTTTTGATCCCAGTTTAACAATCTGTCTCAGAAAATTTGTTTCAGGCAGTGTCCGCCCTTTCCTTCTCTTGGGCAAAAGCTGCTTGGAACAGACAACAGGTTTAAGGGAGTATGGGTGGAGATAAGATGCATCAATTATATTTCTGTGCATATACGATGAATCCAGGAATCCTCATTATGGCTTAAAATGTCTCCTTCTCTGACCTATCAGGTCCCATCCATGTGCCAGAAAAAGAACATGGCTGTTCTTCAGTCAGACTTCAAAGGTGGCTGTCTTCCCAGGCTCCTCCAACCCCCACCCCTGGAGGCCAAAGCCCTCCTGCCCCCTGTAACCTGGTACTGTTTCTGAGTTCCTGTAGCTTCAACCTCTGAAAGTGCCCTGGGTTCTGGGGGGCTGGATGTCTAGAGTCCTGAGGTTATCCACTGGGGTACACTCTTATCTTGCTCCCAGAGTGTGGAACCGTGGCCAGAAATATTGGTCACTTCATCCCTCAGCCCTTCCACCTGCTCCTTCCTGGGTCCTAACCTTGGCGCCGCTGTTTGCAGTCAGCCTCAGTCTGAGGCTGAACTTCCTCACAGTCTAAAGGGAATGATGACACCAGGGAACCCCCTGCAACAACCTCTTCCAGATTGCACGATGGGGGGCTGGGGGCGGAGATCAGGAGATCCCACTCAGAGAGAACATGGACACAGGAGACAGAATCCACTCTACTTAGATTGCATATCTTGCCTACATGGTTTAATGCTGACTTTTATTCAATAAACATTCCGGAGACACTCCTAGGGTGGATAAAGCAGACAAAAGCCCTAGCAATTATGGGGCTACATCCTACTCCTGAGAGCTAAGCTCCAGGCTGAAAGGTGCAATTCCATTCATCTTGAGACCTGGTGCCACCAGCCAGCCAGCCTCTTCATTTGCTGGCCAGCCGGCGGGGAGCTTGCTCTGGGAGATGCCTAATGACTGACAGCAAGGTCAAGGCTAACTCTGACCACAGGTGACCTTCACTTTTCCCCACCGTTCGCTCTGTCTCCACCCTCCCTTGGCCTATGGGGCTGAGGTTGTCCCCAGCCGAGTGCAAAGGTGAAGGAGAATTCAGTGAAATGGTGCGCCACTAAGTGGGGACATGGATAAAGGGTGTGAGTGGCCAGCTCAGTGACAATTCAGCCACAGCCTGGGATGTGGCCAGGCAGTACTTTAACTTTTACTAATGACCCTCTCCAGAGCCTGCTCAGCCAGTTCCAGGGATCCCTCACAGGGTCCCTTCCCCCACATGCATGTGTGAGTCCAAGGCCACCATGGAGACAGAGCGGTGACTTCAGGGCTTCAAGATTAGCTGCACTCCACGCCTGCGTCCTCGCTGTGGCCACAGTTGTGAGTGCCCCAGGAACTCTTGTTGCAGCTCCACAGGGAAGACTCTGACCCCTGACAGGCAACATCATCCAGCCAGATCTTTCCAGTGCCTTGAAATGAGGGAAGGAGAGAGAGGAGACATAGGGTTAGGTAAAAGCCAAGCAGCTGTGCAGGTCCTGGAAGTTCTCATCTGGGGCAGACTGGCAATGCTAAGGGCTCCTCTAGTGCCCCTCAAAGCTATTTTAATGCTAACTATGCATACTGCTGAACTCTCTGCTGGGGTGGGGGTGGCTCCAGCTTCCTGTCTCTTCCCTGCTAATTTGTACCCTTTTCTCAAGCACCTTCTAATGGATTTGTATCTTTGTCAAGCCCCCTTGCTTCTGATATAATTGAAATAATTTAGATTATTTGGTTAGTCATTAAGGTGACTTCACGTAAACTTCAGTATATAAAGAAAATGTGTATTTAAAGTCTCATAGTCCAACTGGATCCAGATTAAAAGGCAAGTCTGAACTTTGAAGTCGGGTAAGAGCAGAGGGCAGTGGACGGTGACTACCAGGGAAGATGGTGCCCCTGGGGAGGTCAACTCTGATGGCCAAGGGAAGGGCTCAAGTGAGAAATTGAGTTCTTTGCTGAAGGTTTGTCCTTCGGTTAGGAAAAAAAAAGATATGAACTTAGCTGATCGCTAGCACCCCAGGTTGTCTTGTTCAGATTAGTGTTAGTACATTCCGGCTCCAGTTTGTTTTAGGTTTTCTTTCTAACTGCCCCCTTTTGGTTGTACTGAGGATGGAACACAGGGCCTCAGACACAGTAGGCAGGGCTCTGACACTGATCCACAACCTCAGCTGTCCCATGCATTCTTTGAAGAGGATCACAGCCAAGACTGTGGGTTAGTCCAGACTTCTGGCTAACAGACAGCTCCAAGTTCCCTGCCGCAATCCCCTCCCTTCTGTAGAGAGAGACTGCCCAGGTGAAAGGCCAGGTGGAATTCTGACTCCAGGACTGGACAGACACTGACCAGGCCAGGCCAGCTGCAGCCCCACAAAGCCTTCATTGTCACTGCTGGGGACAAGATGACATTTCTCTGCTGGGGTGGCCAAGCTAGAAGGAGGGGAAGCCCAGAGCCCTGAGCTGCAGAACTTTCCAGCTGCTTGAACCAACACATTTAACCCAAGCCACACTGAGTCACTGACAATCCTCCCCTTCCAGGAGGAGGCCTGGGGGAGGAAGCACTTACCACCTCCATAGCTGTTCAGGGCCTTTCCCCTGCTGAAACCCAGCATGCGGCAGAAGACAGTGGCATCAGAGTTATCCCAGCCATCGTCGCAAATCGTTCCCCAGACCTCATTATAGTAGACTTCAGCCCGGCCTCTACTGCTAGTGCCAATAATCCTGACAGATGTGGCAAATGACCCTAGGTGAAAAAATACAGGTGGGGAAGGTTCAGATGCACCAGGCCTACGTCATTGCTGGCTCTTCCTGTTCACCTTCAGAGGATTTATGGAGTCCCCCTGCTTGGCTGTCACTAGAGCGTGGAGGAAGGAATCCCAATGTTTTGGCCCTGATACAACCTGGCATCCTACCTGCTTGCCCTCAGTGGTGGCACAAGGCCATAGGAGCAGGTGCCTCTGCAGTTGGTCCTGCCAATCCTCCAGACCACATTTTGTCACAAGTTGCAGAGAAAATAATCAAGAAAGCAGAAGGAAGGAAAGAGTGGAGGGAAAGATGTGAGGAAAGGATGGAGAGAAAGAGAGAGAAAAGGAGGGAGGCAGAGAGAGGAAATGAAAGAGGAAAGAAGGAAGGAAGGAAGAGAAAAAGAAGGAGGGAGGTGTACCGCTGCCAAGTGCCTGCCTATCACGGGCAGGGTTTTTGAAGAGAGGGTCAGTCAACTTTTCCCAAAAATGGAGAATATCTTTGAGAACCAAGCTTTCTCCAAAGAAAAAGGGAGAAAAAGAAGGAGGGAGGTGTACCGCTGCCAAGTGCCTGCCTATCACGGGCAGGGTTTCTGAAGAGAGGGTCAGTCAACTTTTCCCAAAAATGGAGAATATCTTTGAGAACCAAGCTTTCTCCCTGCCAACACATATAATTTTCTAATAATAAATTGAAACTAAAGCACAAATTAAAAAGAATAGAAATGTCAATTACCTTTTTCACCTTTTTCTCCCTTTTCTCCTTTCTGCCCAGAAGATCCTGTTGTGAGGAGAAAACCCACAAAATTTAAAGTGTCACCTTGCACGTGTCCTTCACCTTCCTTTGCTAACAGTGGGCTGGAGGATGAGGACAGGAGGGTGGAGGGCTGGTGAGGTCAGTCGCCCTTTTCCATCTGTGCCTGCGGCCCAGCATCAGAGGGACCAGATGTGCCATGGACACCAGTGGCTGAGCAAGAAGAAATGGGCTCAAGCTCCAGCAGGAAGGGTGGAAGTTAGATGAGTGAGGGATGTTTGGTGAGAGACACGGCATGGGACAGATGCATCTCCTTTGTGGAAATATGTAGTCAGTCGCGGGTGCTGGCCATGGGCAGGAATGCACGAAGCTCGTATGTATGCCCACAGGCTGGCCTCTGGAGGGCTGGGTTGTGACTGGCTCACCACTGTGTGCTCAGTGCCCAGCACCATCCCAGGGATGTAACTCGCCAGCTGAATGAACAGACCCGTACCTACCTGACTTGTGCAAACCTTACCCTTCTCTCCTGGGTGTCCCTTAGGGCCAACTCCTCCAGGTGCTCCTCTGAGTCCTGCCGGCCCAAGGGTTCCCTTTTCTCCCTTTGGACCTGCAGATCCTAAAAGAAGAGAGAGGATGCTCCCATAGATATCCTTCTCTGCCTTCTTGAGGGGGTCCCAAGGGTCCCGCTGCTTATGAGTAATCCCTAACTCTCCACTTCTCCAGGTTTGGGCTGTGTGCATGCTCAGCCAGCACCTTAGGTCCGGCTGTTCTTCCCCCTGACTTTCACATTGACACTGTTGGGAACATGCAAATGGAAATGGTGAACTGTGTTCCAGAGATTGCTGGTCCTCAGCTGATTACATAATTGTGTGGAAGTTCGAGCCATTCTAGAAGAATTTGCTAGCGCATTTTTAGGCCTCTGTGTCTCCATCAGTGAATTAAACAGTAATAGAGTATGTAGTTCACGAGAGAGAAGGTTTGCTTCAGAAGTTTGTCTGAGAAGTTTTGCTTTAGTGTGTGATATGGTTTGGATATCATCGAGTGTCCCCCAACGGTTCCTGTCCTCACTGTGGTGATAGTAAGAGGACATGGGATTTTTAGCGAGAGGAATTGGCAGGAAGTCCTTAGGCCAAGTAGGGGAGCATTTTCTTCAGAAGTGATCACAGTACCCCTACTTCTTTGGCTTCCTGTCCAGCAACGGGATCACTTCCTCCTGCATGACTCTACCATGGTGACACCGTTTGCTATGAGGCCTTCTTTGAGGCTGAGCAGAAGCCACCACCATGCCCTTGAACCTCTACGACAGTGAGCTTAATAAACCTCTTTCCTCTCACAGTTATCTTCATCAAGTATTTCATTGTAGTAATGAAAAACAACCCAATACAGCACACATTAGGAGCATGCTGTTGAGAAGACTAGAAATGCTGGGTAGTGGGTGATGAATGAGCAAGAACTTTATAGGCAAGGATGATAACAGTAATAATATCCTAGTGAGAACCAGCAGAAGGAGGAGAGGAGTGTCTTGAGTAGCTAAAGGATAAAAACAGGCCAAAACTGAGATAGAGAAACCCAACCCTGGATGCGAGATGGAGGTCACCTAGCTCCATGGTAGCTCCATAGCCTGAAGCCACCACCTGCACCATAAGCTCTTCTGACTTTCTTAGCCTTTGCCATTCTCAGGCCTTATAGCACACCCTACAACCCATGAGACATCAAGTTACTAAAGTTTCCTTTGTTTTCCAGGGAGGAATAGAGGCATGGATGACAGAGCTCTAGAATCTCAGCATCAGCTCTGGGGAGAAGGTCACAGTTGTGTGTTCAAAGTCGAGCAGACTCCACTTCCAACTGCACACACCTCTCCAGTCATCATTCTGAGAAATTAAAAAGAAGCCAGCCGTTTACCTGGGGCTCCAGATTCTCCTTTTGTTCCCTTCTGTCCTTGAATTCCTAAAATAAAAACAAAGAAAAGCAGAGAAGGTAATAAAACTTAGATATTAGACACTTTTAATCTTAGACAACCTCTACCTTTTGTCTGATTAATGCAGATGGAAAGATACAATGGTTCTCTACAATTGTTTAAAGCCTTTCCAGCACAGCATAAAAGGAGACAGGCTGCAGATAAATGGAGATGGGTGTGCTGGAGTGAAATAGCAACCTACTGGCGGAAAGCCTGGGGTGGACAGACCCCAGTCTCACTGACTGACCTTCCCCATCCACCAGTAACCTGCATTGGTGTTTAAATCCAATCCCATTTCTTACTATTGCACTTTCTCAAGAGATACTTAAGGAAGAAAATTGAGAAATATTTTGGAAATAAAGTATTTTGATTTCCAAAAGACTTTGGTGTGGACTTTGTGGCCACCAGGAGCATTGGAGGTCCCACACCCATAACAGATGCTCCATAAACATTTCCTGGTTTATTCTTTGTGACTCCAGCTGGCTGAATATTCATGTGGCTAAAGGGTATCAGGTTCAGAAAATGGAAAAATAAAAACTACAATCATTGGTGATGATTCTATTATAGTTACAGTGAGAGTTGCTCTCTCTTTTTATGTCTCCCTTTTCTTTTTTACCTCCTTCTTGATACCCACTCATCCTTTTATCCAGTTAACTGTCATGGAGGACTCCTTTTCCCTGAACCCTTCCAGGCCACTGTGGGATCCTCATTTGTACCCTTAGCAACATCATGGTCTCTCAATTTTAAGGGTCAATATTGTTTCCCCTTCAGAACAATAGAACTCCCCAAGGCAATTACACAAATTTGGGGGAAATGCAAGTTCATTATTGACTCTTAAGTAGCAGTTACTAGAGGGTAACAAGGGGTAGGAGTACCAGCCATTCACAAGCACCTGTGGTTATGGCCACACCCTTGGTGAGCTTCCCACCTGGGACACAAGCCCAGCCCTGACCACAGATCCACCCTTCTGATGACCACCAGAAACCATAGGGAGCTCCATTATCCTCAGCACAGTGGCCTGGGGGAGTTCTTGCCTTCTGGCCCCTTTCATCTACTTCATTGCTTGAATTTTCTGAGAACCTACAGTGTGCTGGTCAGAGGAAGGCAAGGCAAAGGACCTGCCAGGCCTCTTGAGAATTCCAGATGTCCAGTGCCTGATGCTTCCTGGGAGGAGCATCAGAAAGCCAAGAGAAGCCAGAAGTGCTGGGAGGACAGCTACCCCAGCCCTACGAATGGGGACGGAGCTGGTGTTAGGAGAGGTTCCTCCAAGAGTAGAAGGAGCCTTCAAGGCCAGCCCCTGGCCCCAGCTCAGCCCAAGCATTGGTGCTTACCCTTGTCTGTCATATTCAAATGCTTCGGCCCTTAGGTTTACCCAGAGAATTCAGATTTAGCCTGTAAATCCTTCAAAGATGTCATATGTTAACAGCTGTGAAGCCTCCCCTGGCCTCACTCCGTCAATGACACACTTTCTCCACAGCATTACAGTAAAGTGGTTGCAGACTCACCACTTGAGTTAGCCTTTCCCTTGTCCTGCCCTTGTGACTTTGGTCCAGGTGTCCCTCCTTGGAGCCTCAGTCTCCCTATCTGAGTCTGCTCATTGCCTCATGAGGCAGTCATAAGACTAAATGAAGTAGCAGATGTGAAAGGCTGGGGCCAAGAGGACACCGTGAGTCATTTTCATGGGTGTCTTCCCTTGAGGTCAAGAATGTCTTGGGCACAGGGGTGGAGCTCCAGGAAGTATTTGCTGTTGACCTGAAGGGACTTAGCAGTGGCCACCCTACAGAGATGGCAGATGTCTCTGCTTTCCTTGCTTGCATCTGAACACCAAATGTCAAGACTAGGAGAAAAGACCAAATTCAGAAATATGTATATTGGGGTCATTAGGTGGAAAAGTAGTTCATGTGTAGAACATTAACACTGTCCCATTGCTAGAGGGTGCCATGTTACAGGAATCTCTACCTCAAGAACCTGTCCCAAGATGCAAGGTTCAGGGACCCTAGAACACTGTAATCTCCCCTTACTGCCCCCATCAAAAGACATACATCTCTCTAGCTGTCCTTTAAAACTCTGCATTATGGCTTTTATCTAGATCTCCCCCTAAAGCCTCAGGCGTGCATAGGCTCATAGGTGGGGGTTTTTGGAGGTGGCTGGATCCAAGGTGTATGAATATGGAGTAAGAGTGTCGATAACTAAATTATTCCACTGATTGGTTTAGCATAGCTCTGGGTGTGAATAATTGGAAGGCCCACCCTGGGGATTGGTGGCACCAAACAATAGGCTTGTAGCCTAGATGCAATACAAAAGGATAGAAAGAAGTTTGGCCTACTACTTGCTGCCTACCGCCTGCAGTGCCATGCACTGATTCTTCTCTGTGATGTCCCTTTACCATGCCACCTTGCTTTGGAGCCTGCTGAATATGGACTGAAACCTCTACAAACTAAGCCAAAATAAACCTTTCCTCCTTTAACCTGGGGTTGTCAGATATTTTGTTCAAAAAATGAGAAAGTAACTAAGACACAGTGTAAGACTAACACTCTCTATAAGACAGGAAGAGCAGGGCCTGACCCCCACCGTGCTCCCTGAGCCATGCTTATCTGCAGGGGTTGGCCCTTGATGAAATGCCTTCTAAGATGTGTTTAGTGGCTATCAATTTTGTCTTCAAAACTTTCCCTTCAAAGAAGAAAATTAGAATCCTGTTTTGTGTGATTTCTCTGTAAACCTTGCAAGACTCTGAGAGGGCCTTGGCTGAGTGGCCACTCATTAAGGATCAAGGGACAGTAATCCTCACTCTCCATTGAGGCAGCACCCTGACTGGACCAGCTAATATATGCGGGAGGGCAAAGTGACTGGAAAACAGGATCTAGAAAGCTGCATGTTTTAAAACTACACTGGAGAGGAATGGGTACTAGGCTGTTCATAACCATAAGCAAACTGGGTTTCACAAAGTTAGCAAGCTGAGAGGGCCCAAATGTTTATTTTCAAAGTCTTTTTAGAGAAATGATTTCCTCACCCAAGAAAATAGTTGGTAACACATATCTTCCTCGTGGGTAGTGCTCTGCAGGTACTGGGGTTAAGACCACAGACTTCCTGCTCTGAGGGGAAATGGCTGGGGCATTGTCAGACTGGTAGGGATCTGGGTGCTCCTCCACATCACTCACCCACCACCCCGGGGAAAGTGAGCCCCACTGTGGTCAAGTTCAAGTTCCAGCTCACAGTCAGACATCTGGCAGCAGCAAACCAAGCTGAAGATTAGATTTCCTGATTTTGCATTAAAGGCAGGCACTTCCAACATACTGGGAAACTTCTCTGAATACCAATTCCAATTTACACGGTAGGTGCAGCCTAGGAAATTAAATTAAATTAAATCTAATAACTAAAAAAATCACTCTGTGCATCTGTGTCAAGAAGGGATATATGGCTTACAGGGGACCTAAAATTGGGATGTGTGCAAACTTGTGCTCTAAGAAACTTAGAGAAAAACTGGGGAGAGTTTTAAAGTGACCATTAAGCAATGCGGTAGGACTTAATTCTTGACCTATCTAAGTACTTACATAGGAGGGATGCAATTAACTAAGAAACTGTGTTCACACTATAGGACTAATTCTATTGTATACTATCTTTGTTGTTCATCTTCAAACTTCTCTGCATGCAAATGAGGACAAGGATTTTGAGTTATTTCCGCTTGGGCTTTGCCTCAAGAGGAAAGTAAAAATGCATAGGAAATTCTGATTGTTATGCTTTGGCCACCAAGATGAAGGATTTCTGATCAAGTTGGTATTATGGAGCTTAAACGTTTTGCTGCTTCTAATATCCTTCACGGAGTAGAAATGGTCAAAAAATAAATGCCACAATTCCAAGTTGAAGTGGAGTGCTTTCTTATCTCTAAATTTTACTTTTCAATGTAACTAAAGGATATAGAGCTAAAATTTGGTTATTCTTTTGCAATCTTTTGAAAGAGAAAAGGCTAAAAAATTTGAGATTAGGGCATTGGATAAAAATCTGTTTCTGACAGGTGGATGAAATCCACTTTGGAGAAAGTTCTGCTGGGTATAATGCTTTGCTTAATAAGATGCGGAGTTTATTTTCCCAAAAGGAAGAAAGAGAATCTCTTGTCTACTTCTCTCAAAACATACAAACATATTCCACCTGAATCAGCTGGAGTGTTGCTAGTGACAGTCAACAAAGGTAGGAAGGTTTAATGATTGATCCAGGATTTACCTATCTATCCCAGAGATTCAGGACATGGACAGGGCAACTCTGATTTCTCTTGGGTTCTACTCTATGTTGTTCTGTACAACAAATTAGAACCACTCTGCATCATTCTATACCGCAAAACAGAACAACTTTAGGTCATTCTATGTAAAATCTGCAAACACAATAATTTAGACTCAGACTTTGGGATTAACTCCCAGCCTTGGTGTGTGCTAACTACGAGCCCAAGAGCAAAGGATTCACCCTTTCTGAGCCTTTGTGTCCTTAGGTGCACAATTGGTTGGGTAAAAATCCTGTGTGTGTATAGATGAACTAAGACCGCGGGAGTAGAGTACTGAGCACAGAGCCTGGCTCAGAGAACAAGTTAATAATAAATATATCTCTTGATATTTATAATTAATGCTCACTAATGAAATCTAGCTGTCACCTAGGTCAAACCGATAAACTATGATTTCTGTTTTCACCCAAAGTGCCTAGATATGTTCTTGAGAGATTAATGGTTTTATTTACAAAGTGGATAATACATTAGCTTGACAACCTGGCTGATATATCATGGACAGTCGTCATAGCAGCTTTAGTTTGGGGAATATCAACATCCTGACACTGACAAGTGTATGCTGTCTTTCGCGTTGGGAAGGATGGCTCCCACACACCAGTGCCCCACCTTCCCTTACTTTAGAACTCATCAAATCCAATCTTTCCAGAAAGTCACGAGCCCGTGACTTCAGCACCATACACCAACTACATTATGGCCCTGTGGAAATTCCCCTGGTAGGAATCTCACCAGCTATTTGATAGGGCAAACATCTGGGCTTGGGTGGGAAACCTATCTCATTTTACATAAATGTTAATTGTCATACATCCCGAACTAAAATGTAGTTCATCATGTTTACTTGGGCAGCAAGAATTACAGGGTAAACCCTAGGATATGATGAGCTGGGTTTTATAGCTGGGATGGGATTATGCAGAACCCCATAAAGGTGCTCAGCAGATACAGATAATATGCTGATCTGTGCACTATGATGTCTATGCTAAAACTGGTGTGGGATCTTGGATGAGTAACTCAGAACTGTTTCAGGGCTGGAATGCTTCATGTTTCTTCTTAAGAGTGAGAAAAGCTATCACTGCCTCTGTCTGATCCTTTCTGAACTGAGGTGGAGGGAGAAGGAATTACCCGAAAGAACAGTGGCAGAGGAAAGTCCTGAGACAGAGTGCAGTAGATAAGCTCCCAAGCTTTTGAGTCAGCACAGCCTGGCTTCCAGCCTTGGCTTCACATCTCAGTGCCCTTTGACCTTGGACAAGTTACTGTAAAACACCTCTAACCCACGCGCTTATCCTCCTGGATTGTCACAAAAATGCTCATTAGCAGTCATGCTCTTGCTGCAACCAGGCCTCCTGGAGTGCAGGGTGAGGGGCAACATGCTGCACCTCAGGCAGCAAAAGGCTGAGGTTTGGGGTCTGGGGACACAGGACCTCTGTAAGTAAAATCATGTTTTAGGCCCAGCGCTCCTGCTCAGTAAAGAACAGTGAATCCGGCAATGAGGGAGGAGACAGAATGCTTGCAAGTACTATTTATAACCGAGGAGGAAAGCAGTCATTTCCAGGAAGCCACACAGAAAACTCAGGGGCTAGATGCTTCAGATGCAAGTCAGATGGACCCTCGATAGTGGACCAGAGAGCATGCAGCGTAAGTTTGGAAGGAGTAGAGGACAGAGGATGTTGAGCAGCTGCTCTCTACATGGTGAATAACAATATTCAGGAAAATTCCACAATTCACAGTCCAGAACTCAAGGATCACAAGGAAGTAGCGACGAATGAATGACTGAATGGATGATCAATCGATCCATCTATCCACTACGTGGCTAGAACTGCTAAGGTCCAGAAAGTCCAGCCCTGGCGTGGGCCTGTAGCACAGCCTGGGCATGCGGGAGTCTACTTTGTCTGGAAAAGCATGACCTTCCACTCCAGCAGAAGAGAAGGTCAAGGTGGGCCATCCACACACATCCTTAGCAGACGCGAGCCCTTTCTCACCACCCTGCACTCCATACACACACAGCACTCCTGCCTGCACCTGGCTCTCCAGATGGCACATGGCAGCTCTCCACACCAGCACCCAAGCAAGTGCACCTGCAGCCTGTCTCCCACACTCCTCCGTGCTGTCTGAGGGAAAGGTGAGGGGGAGACACCCAACACAGTGGCCCAGACAATCTAGACTGACTGAACACAATATAGGGACCTAAACTTGGAGACTGGGTGACATTAACAGAGTGGTTTATAAAGCAGAGCACCTTGGCAGGGCAGCAAATTTCCCAGATTAAACTGGCTGCTTGTTTATAACCTAGATTATCCTGGCAGGACAGTATATACACTAAGTTGGCATGATGGCTTCAAACTAGTCTCTGTAAGTTCCATTAATGAAGGCCAGTGTTTTCTCTGCCTGTCTCCTAGGAGAATGTGCAAGAAGGAGTTTTTCAACACTCTTAATGAGCTCATAGTGCTGAACACCAACCCTAAAGGTCGGAAGCTGAGTGAAAACTATGCAGAGCTGTGTGGCAGCCCAGGGCAAAGTGTCCATGTTGCTGGAGGTTTGGTGATGGCATTCAAGGCCCTCCAGGAACTCAGAGCAGAGATAGAACAGCCCAAAAGCTGTGGGCTCAAAGGGCCAGAAGTAACTGCCTTCTTTCATCAGGGAGCCTCAGGGACCAGGACAGAGGAGACCTACACCTCCTCCCATGGGCTGCTGGGAGGCTTCCACCTCCCTGTCCGTTGTGACACAGCACCTCACATCTCACACCCCATTACCTGTGTCACCCTTGCTTCCTTTCATGCCCTCACGTCCTGGACTTCCAGGATTTCCTGGTGCTCCTAGAAGACAGTCACCACAGAGAGTGTCAGGGCTGATCAGTGTCCAAACATCATTCCCCAGGCCCACTGTAGGATGTGAGGCTCTTACCTGTTAACCCAACCATACCAGTGATGCCACGTTCACCCTTGGCTCCCAGAGGTCCTGCTGGACCAGGAGGGCCTCGAACACCTGGCACTCCAGGTTGTCCTGGAAGTTAAGTGGTGATTTTGAGGCTGGCAGTCATTGGCGGAGGGCCTGGCTGCCCCATCCCCATGCTTCTTTCCTCGGCAGTGAGTGATGTGCTTCTTAAAAACTTCTCGCCCCTCGACAGCTGTAACCTTTCTTTTTGGAAGCCATGAGCTAGGCCCATTAGTGGAAGGATAGTTAGCAACAGCAACTAGTCTTCCATTTGCTGCTGCAGAGTTTGGGATTGTAGATGCATTGGGGTTTCTAGCTGTGGATGTCCAGACTGAGAAGGTCTGCTAAGAGGGCAACTAATCAAGCCTGCTCCTCAATAGCTACTCTGTTCCTCATACGAGAGGCCAGATTTTTAAAAAGC